AGTATTGTAGAGAAAGGGTTGGTAGTTAAGAGTTGTTCTTTAAGTATGTAGAGAAAGGGTTGTAGTTAAGAGTTGTTCCTTTAAGTATTGTAGAGAAAGGTTGGTAGTTAAGAGGTTTTTTTTAAGTATTGTAGAGAAGGGTTGGTAGTTAAGAGTTGTTCTTTTAAGTATTGTAAGAGAAAGGGTTGGTAGTTAAGAGTTGTTCTTTTAAGTATTGTAGAGAAGGGTTGCAAGTAGAAAGGGTTGGTAGTTAAGAGTTGTTCTTTTAAGTATTGTAGAGAAAGGGTTGGTAGTTAGAGTTGTTCTTAAGTATTGTGAGAAAGGGTTGGTAGTTAAGAGTTGTTCTTTTAAGTATTGTAGAGAAAGGGTTGGTAGTTAAGAGTTGTTCTTTTAAGTATTGTAGAGAAAGGGTTGGTAGTTAAGAGTTGTTCTTTTAAGTATTGTAGAGAAAGGGTTGGTAGTTAAGAAGTTGTTCTTTTAAAGTATTGTAGTTAAGAGTTGTTCTTTTAAGTATTGGTAGTTAAGAGCTGTTCTTTTTAAGTATTGTAGGAAAGGGTTGGTAGTTAAGAGTTGTTCTTTTTAAATATTGTAGAAAGGGTTGGTAGTTAAGAGTTGTTTTTTAAGTATTGTAGAGAAGGTTGGTATTAAGAATTGTTCTTTTAAGTATTGTAGAGAAAGGGTCTTTTAAGTATTGTTTTGGGAAATGTTTAAGTGAAGAGTTTTAGCTTGTTCTACCGTCTCGTCTGAGATGTGCTGGAAGATGTGGAGGGAGGGAGTTAAGCAAGGGAGAATTGGTATTGAATAGTTGGTTTTTGAAGTATATAGAGGAATGGAGGATAGGGGAGGGATGGAGGGAAAGGGAGGGGAGGTAAGGATGGAGGAAAAGAGAAAGGGGACTGTGGGAAAGGAAGGGGAGGTAAGGATGGAGGGAAAAAAAGGAGGGAGGGATGGAGGAAAGGGAGGGAGGTAGGATGGAGGGAAAAAAGGGAGGGAGGGGTGGAGGGAAAGGGAGGGGAGGTAAGGATGGAGGAAAAAAGGAGGAGGGATGGAGGGAAAGGGAGAGGGAGGTAAGGATGGAGGAAAAAAGGGGGGGAAGAGGGAAAGGGGAGGGGAAGGGAGGGAAAAAGGGAAGGGGATGGAGGGAAAAAAGGGAGGAAGGGATGAGGGAAAGGGAGGGGAGGTAAGGATGGATGAAAACAGGGAGGGGTGATGGAGGGAAAGGGAGGGGAAGTAAAGATGGAGGGGAGATGGAGGGAGGGGGAGGGTGGAGGGAGGAAGGGAGTGGAAGTTAAGGATGGAGGGAAAAAAGGGAGGGAAAGGGAGGGGAGGCAAGATGGAGGAAAGGATGGACGGGGAAAGGATAGAGGGGAAAAAAGGAGGGGGGATGAGGGGAAAAAGGGAGGTAGGGATGGAGGGAAAAAGAGGGAGGGAAGGAAAAGGGAGGGGAGAAGATGGAGGAGGGAGGGGGAGGGTACGGAGTGAGGGAGGAGGGCGGAGTTAGGAGAAGGGGAGTGGAAAAGTAGACGAGGGATAGAGTTTTTGGGAAAATTTTAAGGAAAGGACCGGAGTAGAGAAAGGGTTTGGGAAATGTGGGTGAAGTGAATAGTTTTAAGAGTTGCTTTAAACGTTTTAAGAATTGTTTTAGGAAGTTATTAGGAGTTTGAAGAGTTGTTTTAAGAATTGTAGAAAAAAAGATGATGAAGATGGAGGAATTAGCTTGAAGGATTCTTTAAAGATCTATAGAGAAAAAGGATAAAGAATGCCATAGAAGTTTAAATGGTTAATACGGGTTTAGTGACTAGTGAAGTGAATAGACTGAAGAGTTTTAAAAATTGTAAAGAGTATGAATGTGTTCAAAAATGCCTTTAAAAAGCTTAGATGAAAATTATATATGTTAGAGAGATGAAATAGGCTGATAAAGGGAAGTAAATATACTACTTGAATATACCTACGTAAATAAATGAATAAATTGCGATGGGAATAAACATAAAGATATTCTACGAATGTTCTCAGAAGACATGACAGAAAAATACTACGTACAAGAAACACAATAAAAAAAACACAACAAATGAAAACAAAAGCTTCCGAGAAAGGTAAGACTATATATTTTTTTGTCCCATAAGACCCATCGTTAACTGGTTTTCCCCGAATGGCCTCCCTTTCACGTACCTCTTCGACGTCTCCTCCATACAGCGCCTCCGTCTTCTCCAGCCACGTGTAGATGTTGCCCACGACGTCCGGCAGATCGGACAGGTCGAGGGCCAGGGACACGTCGGGCACCTCTCGCCTCCTGCCGGTGGTGCTGGAGAGGAGCCGGTAGATGAGGTAGGCCAGGAAGGTGGCGAAGGCCAGACCCGCCAGGAGGACGAAGGGGTCGAAGCTCTGCATGTAGCCCCCTCCGTAGCCTCCGCCGCCGCCGTAGCCTCCTCCCGAGTGCCCGTAGCCTCCGGATTTCTCGACGCCGAAGCCGCTGTAGCCCAGCTGTCTGGACTCCGCCTGC